ATACCCACTGTATACCTGGCCTGCCGGACCTTTACCCATCTCCACCTGCTGGAAAAAAAAAAAAAAAGTATACCCAGACCTACCCTACCTGAACCTCTTCAGCATGTAACTGGCCATAGCTACCCATGAACATTTTTTTTCAAAACCACCCATGGCCACCTGAACCCAAACCGTTTGTTAACAACCCATACCTTACCCTACCCAAGTTTTCTTTACATGTACCTACCCATAACTGTATGCACCCACCTGTAACCAACCGTGCTCGTCACCCACCCTTCCCTAACCGCCCATAACCATCCCTAGCTGTCCCTAACTGCCCCTAACTGTCCCTAACCGCCCCTAACTTTTTTTTTTTTTTTTTTTTACCACCCTTAACCGCTCCTAGTTGTCCTTAACCGCCCCCAACTGTCCCCAACCCCCGGGGCGTCATAGGATTGACGTGGTAATTTTTATTATTATTAATATTATTATTTTATTTTATTGTTTTCGAGATGTGGCTGCTGCTGCAGCCACTGCAGCAACAACAACAGTTGTTACATCTGGTAATTTTGATGATGCTATGGATGCATCTGGTGCTACATCACCCTATGCAATCTGTGTAGCATCTACAAACGCAACAACCCTCAGTCTGTCGCACACATGTACACTCTCAGGGCGTCGTTAGACACTCCTCAGGAACGTGAAATCCACAAGGACGCGCTCGTTCCACCTGTCCTTGGGGACGAAATTGAAAAAGAAATGTGAAAACGCCACAAGGAAAATTCCTTGTGGCATCCTTGTGGCCTCAGCCAGAATTTCCTTATCCCCAAGGGACCTCGTGAGGTCCCTTGGAGCTCAAGGAACTGTGATCACGGAGTGGCGAAGACATGCCTCGACAGAGAGTTTCGGTTCTTGGGTGGTCCAGATGTGGTCCAACGACATTAGCACGGACATCCCCGCCCTCCAACTTCTGCGTAGTCCCCCAACGGCCCCCAACGACTACTGCTGGCGGTGGGCCTCCATTGGGTGGCACTGTCGTTTTCAGCCAGCATCATGTGGTCTCCCGCACTCGAGGAACGTCCGCAATGGTCGGGAAAATATTTTTTTCCCGGCGGCGCCTTCAGTCCGTCCACGAAAGAAGTTTATGCACAAGCATCGTATTCCCGCGCATGTCGGCACGTGCTGCATGTCCGGCAAGACTCTTGCCTTCTCTGTCGTTGCGTGCTAGATGTCCGGCAACAGACATGGCATTGCTGCCCTCTCCACCGTGCAGTTCATGGCCGACCAGTACCGCAGGCTCCCTCTGCTGCTCCACGTCGTTGTGCTGCTTCTGGTGGTCCCTCTGCTGCTCCTCGGTGTTGTGCTGCTTCTCGTTGATGTAGTCACCCGTGGCGTCATTGCATTGTCGAAGGTCTTCCCACGTTCCCCCTGTCCTGGGTTTGATCCACCACCTCGGTGTCGCTCGTGGAATGATGCTGCAACCCAATGTTTAGCACAACTCAATGACAACCTTTGAAGTTGCCACGTAGTCGGGGCCGTCATCCGCAGCTTGCAGAAGTGTCCTTCTTCTACGCGCGCACAATTGCTCCTTCATTCGTCACAACACCCTCTCCTACTGGCAACGAAGAACAACGGTTGACACGGCCGCCGCCACGGCTGCCTTCTCAAGTGGTGTCAACAGCGCCCGCCTGCCCTCTCTGCTGCCCACCATCGCCACCACCTCCACAGGGATGATGTCTCTCCTCTGTCGTTCGGTCCTCGCACCCCAGAGACATAACCAGCTCACCCCTTGAGGAGAGGTCCGAGAAGCTGCCGCCTTTTTGTGGATGTCGTCCCCCTGGCGGAACTGCGTGTGACGGCGCGAGCGATGTGGAGGAGAAGCTCGATGGCGATGGATGCACCTGGTGCACGCACGTACACTGACCGGGAGTTGGGTGGCAGGGACACCGCCACTAAGGCCGATTCAGCCCTGCACCGTCTACGCGCCGTAAGCCGAACGTCGTCGTCGTCACCACAGCCGTACTTCAAATTTTGAATTTCAAACGTAGAGGTCCCCCTTTTTTATTTTATTTTGTGTGCCTGCCTCATGCCCTTTCCCGCTGGACTTTGCTGGACCACGCCGTCTCCACACAGACAACGGACGCTGGACCACGGACACCCCCGCCCGCGGCCGCGTATTTTCATATGAGAATGGCTGCGGGCAGGCCACAAGGAAACGTCCTCGGGGAACATCCCCAAGGATGTGTGGAACGATGGCAAAATTCCCTGTGGCTCAAGGAACTCGTAAGGAGTGTCCAACGATGCCCTCAGACACACAGACGCACACACACACACACACACACACACACACACACACACAAATATTACATACACAGCGTTACACACGTATGAAAATAGTCTGAAAATATGGAAAAAAAAATTAAAAAAAATGAAGAGATATCTAGGCTACCAGTCGGGCCACCCGGGTCACCCGATTTTCCCGGACGCCCCGGCCGTACAAGGACCAGGAAGGGTTCTAGCAAAAGGAAAAAAAAAAAAAAAAAAAAAATCCTAGGCTACCAGCCGGGCCGCCCGGGTCCCGGGTGGCCAGCCCGTGCAAGGACCAGGGAAGGTCCCAGCAAAAAAAGAAAAAAAAAAAGTATTCCAAAAAATTCGAAAATAAGAACTATGTTACGCAGAAAAATAAACTGAACAACTTTTGCCTCAGGGTCGCATCGAAATTCTTCACCAAATTTAGCATAAAAAATAACATTAAAAAATCATATTTTTATTTTTTTGGCCCGGCCGGGCAAGTGACCCCGGGCCACTCTGGTAGCCTAAGAAAAACTCTGAAAAAAAAAATTGTTATGCTGAAAAATTAACTGAACAACTTTTGCCTCAAGGTCACATCAAAATTCCTTACCGAATTTAAAATAAAACATAAAGTTAAAAAATATTTTTTATTTTTATTTGACCCGGCCGGGCCACTCCATCGAAAATGTGGCGGTTACGTTGTTCACAGTTTTTGCAACCACCACCATCAGATCATTTGTGATCTGATGACTGGGAAGCACGCTGCTGTGATTTCCGGTGGGAGATCTCTGTTTCTTCTTTTTTTTTGGGCCTTTTTCCTGTTTTCTCAGCCCAGAAATTCGTAATGAACTTGTCTGGCCGCTGCCACTCAGTGTCACACTGGATCGGCCACACTCCTATCCGACTGCTAATGGGACCTCGCCCCTAGAGAGATATAAAATTCACCCCTTTTAAAAAAAAAAAAAAAAAAACACAACATTTATATAAGCCGGGAACCGGGCCGGGCGTCCCTCACAAAATTAGGTGGGGCCCTCGGCGGGCTAAGCATCACCGGCCAAGCACATCGAGGGTACCACTAGATTTCACCCTGCAGCCAACTCCACAACCCCTACCACTGAAAATTTCAACGAAATTTATCAGCAAAATCTAAAGTTCATCGCTAAAAACTCTAATCACAATAGTCATGTCAACCCTAATTTAGAGACCTAAATTCCACCGACCATTAAACGAACAAGTCGGAACAACGTTTATAAAATTCCAGCAACCATTAAGAAATCATGTGTGAAAAGGTACTACCAAAGAAAAAAAACGAATCAAAACCACAAAAGAGAAACGAGTGGTCAGCGCTGCCTGATCATGTCCACCATTCATCCGTAGTTATTACCAACCCCTGCCAATCTGCCCTGCCACCCTTCATGGGAAAGTGAGAAGTTTGGAATATGAGAAAAGCCTCACGCTTGAGCAAAAATACAAAGCCTGCACAGCTACGAGACTCACATCGGCTATACCATGGTTACCTGATGGGAACCTCTACCTGCCCATACCCACCCCATTTTTTTTTGGCCACCCGTACCTGCCCATATCCGTCTATTTTTTTTGCTTGCCGCCCATACCCTTTTTTTTTTTTTTACACCTACCCCTACCTGCCCTTACCCACCCATGATCTCTAAAAAGGGCAACTGTGCCCGCCCTAACAACCACCACCTTTTGTTTGTGCCTGCCCGTAGCCAACTCCCCCTTCGGAAAGGGTACCCATACCCGCCCGTAACCTGGCGGTTACAGTTGGGTACGGTTGAGTACGGACAACAGTTACCCGTTTGCGCTCTCTGCCGCCCGCCCACCCACCCACCCACTTACCCACACATTAATATTAATATTTTGAAGTTTGCTGTTGACTGTTGTAGTTGGGGTTTGAGCCCACGCACAGATTTGAGAAACCCAACCGCCCGACGAGATAACTGTTGAGGCAGACTGGGTCCCTGTGTGATTTTGGAGACATTTTTTTAGTGTATCCCATGTCAGGCAGCTGGCATGTCAGGATGTGTGTGTGTCCAAACCCTAACCTTGCAGAGTGGAACCCGACGAGATAACTGTTGAGGCAGAGTGGGCCCTGTGTGATTTTGGGGACAGTTCCTTTATGTATCCCGTGTCAGGCAGCTGGCACGTCAGGATGTGTCTGTGTCCAAACCCTAACCTTGCAAAGTGGAAAACCGGCCGAATGGCAGAAATGGAAAATGTGTCGAATCGCGGTCATGATGCATTTTGCAGCCAAAACGATTTTTAAGTTTTTTTCTAATATTTTTCCTAAAAAGATCACAACGAAATCTATGGACTCTGAAATTTTTATATTTTTTCTTAAATTCTTCTGAGCTAAAAAAAACACAGAAGATGCAGGACTTTTCTGTTGGCCGGCACATGGCATAGCAGCAAAAATGGAAAAAGTGACGAATTCGCGCGGTGGTTATTTGACAGTCGAAATTATTTTTTCATTTTTTTAAAATATTTTCCCTGGAAATATCAGGACTTAATCTACACGCATCCAGTTTTCACGGTTTTTAACGGAATCTTCCGACCGTGAAAAAGCACTGAAGTACTTGCACCCCAAAGTGCTCCATGAAAGGCGAGAGACGTGTACGCACTGTTCAACGGCACTCTCGACATAACACACACTCAACATCCATACAGAGAGGCGTAATATAATGTTAATGCGAGCGGCAGTCTATCTCGTCATAGCCACGGTTTTTAACTTGTCCTGTTTATCACACCTTCAAAACCACGAAAACAAAAGCAGAAAGAGAGAGAGAGATGATGGCTGCATCTGGGCAGAGAGAGTATGTGGCTATTGCGAAGCCTGTGATGCTGGAGAACAATCAGATGTCCCTTGCTTTTGAGCGACGCCTCTTGGAAGGGAGCTGCATGAGCAGGTCACGTGTCTCTTGTACACTAATTACCGGTTTCTTGGGGAGCGGCAAAACGACACTTGTGCGACACATTCTCCGGAACAGAGGCGATCTGAGAATTGCTGTGCTAGTGAATGAGTACAGTGAGGTCGATATTGACGGAGTCATTGTGCACAATGCTCATTCTCACGCTTCCCTTGGACTTCCTTCAGCTGAGTTAGCAAGTGGTTGTGCCTGCTGCACCAAGCAGAATGATATGAAACAGGCAGTGAAGGACTTAATGGTGGGTGGTCATGATTTTGATCATCTTATCATTGAGACATCTGGTGTTGCAGATCCAGGCCCATTGGCGTTGATGCTGGAGGAACTGAATGTACAGCTTCATCTCATCGTCACTGTTGTTGACGCAGAAAACCTTCTGAACGTTCTAGATAATCCAATCGCAAGGCGCCAGCTCAGCTTTGCAGAGATTGTACTGATCAACAAGTGCGACCTTGCCTCATTGGGCACAATCTCAGATGTGGAAGACAAGGTGGAAGCAGAAATCGGAAATGTTAGGGTTGTGCGTTGCCGATTTGCACAGGTTCCTCTCCCACTCGTTGTTGACGTTATCGAGGCAGTGAGCCCGGCTCCATCCTCAATGAGCAACGATGACGCGGGAGTCATGTCACATGAGAAGGTAATCACTCAAACAACTCTGAGACGTGCGGCAGACAATCAAAGTAAGACGGATGCGGATAGCGATGGGACTAGAAAAGTTCCGGGATCGCATAGTGACAAGGACGGGAAGGAAGATGCAAAGGCAGAGCGAAGGAGAAAATTGGCCAATGCTAATCGTGACATACATATCCATGAAGAGCTAGGGTTCACGTCTTTGGTCTTCAAATCGGACGAACCAATCCTGTTATCTGCATTTCAAGACTTCGTCAGGAATGGAGTGCTGAAAACCCATGGATTGCTTCGCGCTAAGGGTGTCCTGTGGTTCCAGGAGGACAGGAACAACCGGTATGTGTTTCAATACAGTGGAAAGAAGCGAGCAGAGACTGTGTGCGACTCAGTTTGGGAGAGTCCGCCCAGTGTGAAAGTGGTTTTCATAGGCCGTGATTCAGACGCACTGAAGGCCTTGCGGTCAAGTCTGTCTCAGGCGGTCTCGCCTCCTAGCCGAGATGATGCTGCAGATGTGGGAGTCGGAAAGGCCAAGCAGTTTGCTGCTATGGTGGCTGCTGATCAACGCTTCCAGCTGCTCAGTTCAGGAGGCGCTTTGGGGGCGGACAACATAGAGGGAACCCAGGGAGGCAGCGAGCTCCTGCACAAGCTTGCACCATCGCTTGTCAGATTTGGAATGGTTGGGTATCCCTTGAAGAGCATAACTGAGGCTGTACTTAATACCGATCTAATGTGCACGGTTAATGCAAGTGGAGCGCTTTTCCTGACAGCTGCAACCCCGCCTCATTGCGGTCATTTTCTTCAGTTAGCATTTGGAGCAACAAGTGAAAGTGATGAAGCAGCACAGGATCCATCAGTTTGTTGGAAGATAATCAGTGACATCGCCTCCCGTGTACTCATCAGAGCTCACCGGGACGTATGTCCTTGCAGGTGTGACTACACAAGATCTGCCTAACACCTTCGGCTTTCCGAGTTTTGATTCCGCCATCAAGAAGCAACAGTGAGTACATGATCCCACTGCTTTAGTACATGAACATACATTTTCACTGCTAACTTAGTAAATTGTCTTCGGATGGACTGAAATTGTCTTCTGATGGACTGAAATTGTCTTCTGAGATAACACTTCAGCACACGATGACTCTGCTACAGTACATGTACATTTTCAACTAAATTAGTGAGTTGTCTTCCGATGCAAAGTTTGCGAAACACCAAGGTGAATTGACACAACTTCAAGCTGATGCAATGCCAACAAGATGAATGGAGAAATGAATGTGGCAAGGTGGACTGTAGACGGGTGGGAGAATGTTGGTAAGAGAAGCCCATATATGCCTAGAGAGGCGGTTATGAAGGGTTCAGACGACAGCATTCATAAAATAGACCTTCAGAAATCAACAGATGGGATGGGCAGCCTGACATGCTGAGGGAGGGACTGGTTGTGAGAGTAGGTGAGGGTGAAATTAAGATACGAGTAGTGTGAAATAGAGTGGTTATTGACTGCGATAGAGTTGTATGGTGTAATAGGGACGATAGAGTGGGATTGAGTAGATGAGTTAAGGTGAAATAGAGTGGAGAAGAGTGGATGAGTGTGATGAAATGGAGTGGTAAGTAACGAGAAATATTATCTTCAATGGAGCTGAATGTCAGAAAAGGTGAAATGTTATCTCCGATTGAACACCATGGATAAAATTTCAGATCTCTCTTGTCACAGAATGTGAACCTTTCCATGTGCAGGCTAAAGAAACCTCAAAAGCATCCTGGCAAAAAAAAAAAAAAAGCACTGAAATTAGGGTACTTTTTCCATTGGCCCACACGTCGAAGAGTGGCAAAAATGGAAAATGCACCACAGCGACCATTTCAGCATCAATTTTTTTTATTTTTTTTTTTTTTATTATTTTTTTTTTTTCTTTCTTTTTTTTTTCCAGATATTTTTCGTAGGAAGATAAGGACCTAATCTACGGGCCCTCCAATTTTCAGGATTTTCAACGCATTATTCTGAGCTGGAAAAATCACTGAAGTTAGGGTGCTTTTTCCGTTGGCCCACACGTAGTGGAGCAACAAAAAATGGAAAATGAACCAAATCAGCGCGGCAACTATTTCAGGGTTGAAAATAATTTCTTTGTTTTTTTGATATTTTTCCTAGAAAGATCACGACCTAATCTACGGGTTCCCAAAATTTCAGATTTTTCTGATTATTACGCGAAAAATCGCCAAGTTAGGGTACGTTTTAGTTGCGGGACTGGACCCGTCAGTAACCAACAGTCACCGCCCTTCAAAAAACCTCGCCCTAACTCACTCGAGGCAGGTGGTTTAATGAGTAGGGGAGCAAGGCCCACAGTCCAGTCCCGCCAGTAACCAACAGTCACCGCCCTTCAAAAGACCTCGCCCTAACTCACTCGAGGCAGGTGGTTTAATGAGTAGGGGAGCAAGGCCCACAGTCTCCAAAGGAGCTGAAGCTGGCTAAGGGCTCCCCGGGAGCTGAAGCTGGCTAAGGGCATCACGACACCACTCTCTCTTTTTTTTTTTAGGAGCCGCACGTGCTGTCAACCTACAGATTTTCATGGCCACACCACTCTCCAAATGTGAAAAAGACAAAAGTGTGGCGGGTGCATCTGGCCATGTTCTAGCGGGAAATTCATTATACATTTTATACGTTTATCAAGTGGTGTGGCGATGCCCTAATGGGCCCACGAAGCCTCTCTCTCTCTCTCTCTCCCCCCTCCTCCCTCCCCTTTCATTCTTTTTGTTTTGAGTCGACTTTGAAATAACATGTTTGAAGCTTCGCAAAAAAAAAAAAAAGTGTACATCCTGTCAGTGCTCACACGTAACACACACACACACACACACAGGTCTGTTCTGTGTGTTAAAAAAAGAAGAAAAAAAAGTATGCTCTGCTACTGAGCACTCTACATGTATGTGGATTGTTCTCTGGACCAAATGCATCCGGACCGGTCGAACACTTTGGATGCATCTGGACCATTACCAGATCCAGTTAGATTGTCTGTTTTTACTTTTTTCCCCTCCTTTCCCCTCCACTCTGTCACGGGTTTCGCTACACCCCCTGCCCCTTCCATTCCCGTCCTTTCCCTTTCCCCACTACAGTTCCACTCGCCCCAGCTCTTCGTCTCTCTCTCCAAAAACTCGAATCCCCCTCCTAAGTCCGTCCACATTCACTCAGCTACCTACAGGCCCTCACATCACAAATCTAAGCTCTTCAGTACCAAACCCATCTCCCCCCTCTCCCCTTTTTAGCCCGACCCATTCTCTCAGCTTCCCACCCTAACACAATCATCAGAACCTCCCATTTACCGCCCACCTACACTCTTTACTATGACATCTCCAACCCGACTTGGCCACTCTTCACTATACTGATTCCAACCCGACTATGCCAATGCCCGTTAGTGTTCTTTATTCTTTACTAGGGGACCTGAAACGGTTTTCACCTTTTAGCAGTAGCGAATGCAGATCCCAGGGCTCGATCCCTAGTTCTCACCTTACCAGTGTCCAGTATCTGTGTCAACCCCGAGTGTTTGAACCCGTGACCTGTGTTTTGACAGTTGTTGTTCTGTCGTAGGTCTGTGTAGTGGTAGGGGTTCGATCTGTAGGCCTGTAGAGTAGAAGTCTTAGGGAGTTCTAGAAGTCGTAGCTGTAGAGCTTCCGAAAGGTCAAGGTCGTAGCTGCTACAGTCCAGAAGGGTCAAGGTCGTAGCTGCTACAGTATCGAAAGGCCAAGTCCACGGCCTTCCGGAAGGTCCTAGCAGTGGCTTTTTGAAGTTGCCCACGTTTAGACTGAGGCAAGTGGGCAAGTGGTGGAGTCTACCCGTGCTGAGTCAGCAGTCCCAGTCCCAGTCAGTCCTAGTCTAGTCCAGCAAGTACCGTACGGGACTGTGTGCACCACGGGCATGGGAAAGGGCCAGACCAACGAGCTACAGAAGTATAAATTGAGAGGCAGCGACCAGCCATTCATTCATTTCCTGCG